AGGTTATCTCACTCTTTGTGGGAGAGTCACTTGTGTTTGTATCTCTGAACACCAGGGAGAGCAGCGATCTGATCTTTCCCTCCTCCTTTGTAAAGATGTTTGTTGCATGGGGCAGCCAGAGCTTTGATACTTATTAGGAGGGCAGTTCTGGTCAGCTGTTGCATGAAGAAAAGCTGTGTGGTTACCCAAGGGATAACTCCTTCAATGGCTCATGGCTTAACTGGGTTTGTTGTACTCAGAAAAGAAAGACCAGGAGAGCAAGAGAATGAACCTCCAAAGAAAAAAAGTGAAAGGATCTGCACTTGTTGAGTTTGGATTCTGCTTCTCTCTGGTGCTCATCAGGGGGTTGTTCCTAAAGCTTGAACCACTTCTTCCTGAGCCCTGGCAGATGTTTTCTTGGGGTTTCTGTGCTTGCCTTATGAAAATATCAAGACTGCAGTCCTGGAGCTGAATGAGACTCTGCTGAGCACTAGCATGGTGCAGGTGAGTTTCTGCAAGGTTGGGAGAGCCATATAGTCAGGAACTTATTTGTACTCTGTATCTCCTGGACTTTGCCCTGGTGCCAGTCCAGGCAGCTCTGACCTACTGGTTTGTGCACTTCTCTTGTAGAACTTGCACAAGCTGTTGCCACAGCTCAGAAAAATACATATCTGGTAGACTATGAACAGTCTGGGATACTGGTGAGCGTTCTTCTAGTCAGGTAAATAGAGATCACATCAGCATCTTCCCCTAACAGAAAAACCACATTTTTCACTGTTTTATTCCTTGTGTGATGCTCAACTCCAACTCCCATTTCATTCTCCTTGCAGTGTCTCCGCATTTTCCCCATCTGCTATTGCACAAAAGATGAGACAGGTTTATTCTCAAAATCTGGTGCTAGTGGTAAATATCAACTGCAGCAGTAAAAGTTCCTTTTTGGGGTGTGGGGAGAGGGAATAAATGGGAGAAAAAAAAAAAAAAAGGAAAGGGAAAACTCTTCCCAGCGGCCACCTGCGATAAGAAGCAGCAGGAGTCTCCCTGAATAAACACTTTTTCCAGCACAGCAAGGAGTCCCCCAAATATTTTTCCTGCATTAACTCTTGTTTAGGTCTTGTTCAGTGTTCCCATTGTCAGTCCTTAGGCTGAAAGTGTTGATTGGATTAGGCTTTGATTAGGCAAAGCCCTTTACAAGTGTTAATTGTCCATTAAGTTTAGTGCTGCCCGTCCTTGGGTGATGTTTAGTGGTTGCTTTAATGACCCTTGTCTCCTATTGTCTACTGTGGGCCCTGGTAGGAGGTCACAGCACAAAACAAGAAAAGGAAGATCAGCTCTCCCATCGGCGGTAATTAACTGTTCTATTCTAATTGCTTCCTACTGCAACACGAAGCACAACAGACCTGTGCTGTAGGGCTGATTTAGGGGAGATAAGGGAGAGGCTTCAGTTACACAGGTTACAGCACTTCGTGGGCTCGGGGTTAGTCTTAGGTCTCGTTTTGTAAGCATGCTTACATGCTCTTAAGGAATATAACACCGAGAAGTCTCTTCTGCCTGGTCTGTCTGCTACACACCTTGTCTAACAGTAGGGACTTTATTTCTGTAGTCTCCTGTCTTCCTCATCCTGCTTCCTGATAATGATTTTTAGTATTCTTATGATCAACCAGTGATGGACTGGCTCTCTCTTCCTGTAGCAAAGGCAGCTTTATCATCTCACTGTGATGTGGGGAGAGTCTAGATGTGTAAATTTTGGACTGGATGGATTTTTAAGATCCAAACAATATCTGTCCTTACAGATTGTGTTGTAGAAAAGCTATGCTCCATGTCCTTGTTCCCTGTAAGATTTCATAATGTGTGTGGAAGATAGGGGGAAGAAAAAAAAAAAAAAAAAAGAAGAAAAAAAAAAAAAGAAGAGTTAAGAGCTCCGTCTTTGTCTTCCCAAAACATCCTGAGAGGGTCTCAGTTGTCCTAATTTTTTCAGACACAGAACACTGGGTTGTCCACATAGGAGAATATGAAGTTTGAAATGCAAAAGCATCTGGTAAAACTCCATCAGAATAAGTCATTTTCTCCTGCCACGTTTAATTCCAAAAAAAATAAAAATTCAGCCACGCAATGCCAGTAGGAAACTCCCATTACAATGTTGGTTTTTTTTTTCCCTTTCTTCAGTGCAAGTCTTCAAATTGTCAGATCTAAAAAGCCTTCTTTAGAAGAACCGTTATGTTTTTACAGTCCCGTGTAACCTTGCTGTAGGATAATGGGCAAGAGGAGAGCAAGGTGGAGAATGGAAAGAGCCAGGACCCCATGTCCGACAAATCCTGCACCAGGGAGGATGGAGTTAAGACCATGACCTCAAATGAAAGTGCTGCTGCTTATTAGAAACAGGGGAGTGAAAAATAAATCTGATCTTGTTCCTAACGCTGGAACCTTTATGAAGTTTGAGAAGTACCGGAAGGATGAAATACCTCAGAAATGCACGTTCCTGTAATTTTTGTACTTTTATTGATCAGAGTACCATTTTTACAGTTAAGATGCAGTCAGGGCTTAGAAGTACTCTGTTTGGTGAGGATGATGATTCTGCCATCACTTAACCCTTGCTGATGCTCCTTCTGGAAGCATCTCCTCCTGTGCCCAGCTGTGTGTAACCTGTCTAGTGTCTGAGCCTGAACTTAGTCCCCTCCCTCCCTCAACTCCTGGCTAACCTTATAAGCTCACTCCTGGCCACAATAACATACACTCAGTCTGAGGTCTTCTAAAGAGGGTAGATTTACATTAGATATGAGGAAGAAATTCTTCCCTGTGAGGGTGGTGAGGCCCTGGCACAGGGTGCCCAGAGCAGCTGTGGCTGCCCCCTCCCTGGAAGGGTTCAAGGCCAGGTTGGACGGAGCTTTGGGCAACCTGGGCTGGGAGGAGGTGTCCCTGCCCGTGGCAGGGGGTTGGGACTAGATGATCTTTAAGGTCCTTTCCAACCCAAACCATTCTGTGATTCTCTTTGCTGATAGTTTGCAAAACTGCTCTGGAGAAAGAAAATAGTTCTGGTTGCTATAACGAGTTGGGAAGCAGCACAAGTAATGAGCAGTTGTTTTTTTTGATAACTGCCTGTACTTAGTCGTGTGAGTCTAGTCTGGTGAGCTGCTTCAGAGATGTGCCTGTGCTGCTGCAGGACTCTGTGGCACAGACATGCTTGGTAATGGTCCCTTGAGAGTCAGGCAGTCGGTGCTCATGTCAGGAAGCATCTGTTCATCTCTCTTTAAACACATCTTTCTGCCTTATCCTCCTGCTGATTTCTGTGCTTGTTGCTGTGTTGGACTCTGGCTCAGGTCAGCAGGAAACAAGTGCTTGATAGGTCTGAAAGTCTGTGGGACTGCAGGCGTCACTTTAATGTTTTCTGCGTTTGATCTTACAAGTGGGAGCTGGCAATGGCAAAGAAAAGGATTGCTGCATGCCAGTCCTAGTGCCTGCATGCATCCTGCACCTACTCACTTACCTGCTGCCTCTGGCACTAAGACTTAATTAGTTGGGGTTTTTTGCTTGGTAGAGTGGGCCTGAGCATGATACAGTGTGTGGGCTCAGTCTCTTCAGCAAAAATCAGGACCCAACTTGGGTCTCTGGGTGGTGATAGCTCTGGAATAGCTTGGGGACTCTGGAGTGGGTCTGTACAGAATTAGAGAAATCAGCTCTGCAAGGCAAGTGCTTTTCCGCGGGCAGCTCCGGGACTGGTTTGTACCCCTTGGGTTTATTCCCCAGCCACCTGCATGTGGGCAGCTAGGAAATACACCCAGAGGATTTTCAGCACCTGGAAATACCTGCTGGCTAGGCTTTCAATGCTTTCAATATGGTCTTATTTTCCTGAACAGTTTTTCTCATGACCAGCTCCAAGAGAGAAAGTCCTGTGATCAGAAGTGATCCCAGTGAAGGCAAGATGTTTGCTGTGGCTGGGGAACAGGGGTTTGGATCTTGACTGCTCTGTGCAAAGACACTTTTGGCTCATTGCTGTGTCTGTGGCTGCAAAGCCTGAGCCTGCATCCCAAAGATGCTTTATTTGTGTTGTTATAGTGGAAGCTGTGGCTGTGCTGTACTGTGCAGCGTGGTGAAGGAAAGAAACATTGCTGAAACAAGCGGATGTGATGCCTGGAAGGAAGGATACCTATTGTTTTGTCCTGTGATAAAAGCCTGGTAGTGCTGAGTCAGTGTCCAGGGAGGAAGGAAAGCAAGAGGCAGCAGCAGGATGCAGACTGCAGATGTATCCGTCCCTCAGAGGATGAAAGTTCTCTGCCAAATGCCTGGCTGCTGCCCTACCGTGTGCCCCCAGTGCTCTACTCTTTGTCTTACCTGGTCTAATATTTACATTCAGCTAACAAGCCTCCTTCCAACATACAGTAACATCTCCAGTATAGGTCTGTCCCATCCTTTGTCCCAGGCTGCTAAGCCAACCCTGCTGTACTGCACTAAAGTTGGGCAGGTTGCTTCACAGTGTCTTTACACCTTTCTCTGGGGCTTTAAACAACAGGTCCAAAGAAATCAACTTTTTCTCTAATTTTTTGAGACTGGAGATTGTTAAAGCATGCAGACCTTTCCTGATGTGTGCGTCCCCCATACTAAAATAATGAAGAAAAAAAAAAAAAAAAGGGGGGGGAGAGCCTTGGTGCTGCCTTAGTTTGTTTTTACACTGCAGAGTTCTTTCATCTGCCTGCAAATTGCACGTAAGCATGCATATGGGGAAGCTTTGCCCTTGGTCTGAGCACACGCACCATTCAGGAGCAGAAAGGACCATATTTCCTGGGAGATCTGCTGCTGAAGAAGCACTGAGGTGTTGGCTGAAGCAGTTAATTATCAGTGAGGGAGGGTGATTTGCCTGGATCTAAACAGGGGATGAGCCACACTTCTGGCAGTGACGTCAAAGGGATTTTCAGGGGGTACGTCTGGAGTCCTGATGGCAGTTGCAGGGTAGAAACTATGCTCCTGCTTAAAGCAAATATTTTAGAAATGTCATTCTCTATTTTTATGCCTCCTTTGTTTTTTTTCAGTGTCTGTTGAGAACTTGAAGAAAAGCTGAAACATGAGAAAAGGACAGATTTTGTATGTGTGGTGTAATATTCTGAAATTTTTAGCTGACACAGGGAGTGACAAATTTGTGGAAAAAATGACAATATCCTTTTGTTTTTAGGAAGAAAAATGTTTCAAAGCGGATGTGAGCTATGGCAGAAGGGATTCATGGGTCTCAGCAAAGTTTAGAGACAGAGAGAGAGAGCAGAAGGGTCCATCACGTGAGAAAAGGCATTTCAGTCGTAGTGAGGACCACGAAGTGTTCCTCAAGTTGTGGGGGGATCTTGCAGTGCTGCAGGGATGCTGCTTGCCATCAGCAGAGGATCTCTCATTCTCAGCCTCCTGCACAGTTTTGGGCAAAGGTATTTCTGCTCTGTTCAGCTGTTGTCTCAAAGTGAGTTTCCTGACTGTGTTCCTGGAGTTTCTGGCCTGATTTGAGGTTGGTGGTTTGCTAGGAGTGCTGTGTGCTTCCCAAGAGACACTCCGAGTTGCTGAGTGTTGCAGTGCTGTGATGGGCTTTGAGCGATCGGGGCTGTACCATGAAATCTTGCTTTTGCAGGAGGTGTTTGCAGATGTGTGCCATAGGGATGCCATCATGCCTGCAAAGTGGAGCGTAAGCAAGATGCTGCTTCTTTACCAGCTGGATATTCCTTCATTTTGCCTCTGACACAGGAGGTGCAAGCGTCACCCAAGCACTGAGCGGGTTAGGCTGGGTTCATCTTGACATTATGGTCTGGTGATGGTGGCATCTGTGCTACTGCTGAAACCTCTGGGTGGAGAGGAACTACAGATGAGGTGGAATGTTGCAGCACTCTGTTGTTTTCACTCTTATGTTTTCCACCTGATGTTTGCTTTATGGTTCTTGACTTCTGGGTTTCACAGCTTTCTTAAGGATGCCAAGACACAGTATGAGAAGTTGCAGATGATGTACTCAGACACAAAGTAACTCTATACGGTACTGGGCCAGTACTTTCTGTTTGACTCCCAGAAAATGACTGTTGATAACATCTTCATAGACCTGAATAACTTCAGAAATAGGTTTTTAATGAGCGAGATGTCTTTTCCTTCTCTTCATTCTTAAGCACTTTCTTCACTGCCCAGATCTCCCATGTTTCTTACTCCCCCTTTTCCAAAGAGGGATTTTAATTGCTTTTGTATGGTTCCCCCCACCCCCCCCAAACATCCTGCAGCCCCTAAGCAGCTGTTTCTCCTGTTCCACAGCAAGCTGTCATGGAAAATCAAAAGCAGCATGAAACATGATATACCGTGCAAAGCTGGTGAAGGAGGAGGCAGAGAAGAAACACCAGGAGTGACAGCAGCAGAGAATGGCTGGTAGACATGAATGTAGGTATGAGATGCAGTTGGGTGTTTGGGGAAGCAGAAGTTTTGGACTGGCTGCAAAGCCCTACTGATAATTTGTGCAGAGAGCTACAGATAAGGAGAGAAATGCTGTGGAGCTGGATTCCCAGGGATGGAGGCTTGGGACAACATGAGTGGTATTACTCTCCTCTTTACTGAGAGGATGTCCTGAGAGCAGCAGTTTGCAGGCCTGCAGAACTTTTAACTTATGTGTTGGACAAGTTACAATAAACCTATCTTCAACGATGTGCAAGATACAGAGATGTACAAAGGTAGAGAGAACCTTGCCAGACCTAAGGGCCTTTTTGAGAGGTTTTTTGCTTCTGTAAAATGCAGCAATTTGCATGACACACCAAAAGCCTGTACAGCCATTCAGTGTTGTAGTCCTGCACTCCATCTCCTCCCTTGTTTTCTTGGGAGCCCGGGTGGGTATTAGTGTCAGAGCCCTTCTCCCCCCTTCCCAAATGGTTATGCTGTGCTCTGTTCATACAGGAGTCCGGCGTTAGGCTCCTCTATTCCAACCACATACGTTTCAGATTTCTTTGCAAATGTGTTTTAAAAGGGGGGAGGGGAGAGGCCATAAACATTCTTATGAGCTTTCCCAGTGCTGTAGCCTGAACGTAGGAGTACCTAAACCAGTGGGATAGCCTCTGTGGGATAGCCTTTCTTATTCATCACCCCATCTGTGCCCTTACCTCTGAGTGAGTGAATCCTGCAGGTACTCTTTGCACAAAAGCCGTCCTGCTTTCTGAGAGCAGAGTGGACCTGACATCCCTCCTGCCTGATGAATGGCAAAACCATGTTCTGATGTTACTGTTGACCACTTGGCCTTCTAACTCCACACATGCTATGAGACATGGGAGTAGATCTAACCCTGTCACTTTGTAATAGAACAGCCATTTCCTTCACCTTTTTTTTTACAATGTTACCTGTTACATTAGGATGTTAATTAGGAGTTTAAGGTTGGAAGCCTCCTGGACATGTAGCTACTACGGGCACAGACCTGAAAGCCCACACAGATGACCCATCTCAGCAGTTGTGATTAGTCTGGATGCAAACTTCTGCTTGGTCCAGGAAGTTGATGTGACTCTGCGAGCTCCCTGTGCTGTCCCCACAGCATGGGCTTTCTCCCTTAGTCTGCTCCCTGCTACCAAATGTGTTCTTTGCTTCCAACATATGGACTCAATTACTGTCCCTCTCCCTTGATTTCCTGCCTCTTCGGGTTTCCTGAAACTCATCCCCTCCTCCTGGCAGCTTGAACTCCTGCAGTGAGATGCTTTTCAAGCTCTCGCGTTCCTCCCTCCCTCCTGCTGCTTTGCTGCCTCTAACAAGGTGGTCCTGATCCAGAGCACACAGAGATAAGGCTGCAGACCCATACTGTCGCTATAGCTGAGCCCAGGCACTCCAAAGACTTGACTTGCCACAGCAGAACTAGCCAGCCCACTAAATGCATGCTCAGTGTCCAACAGGGCTGTGTCCCAGCTCCTATTGACAGAGGTCCTCACCCTGCCTCAGCATCATTCCTAGATCAGCCGCTAGTTTTCAACCAACTGCTTTATTTCCAAGACTCGGGCTTTTTTTTTCCATTCCCTTCTGAGGCCATAGGCTTTCTGAGCCTCCACACTTTGAAAGGAGCATCAAACTGCTCTGGGTTTCTCCTGCGTGCTGTTTGGCTTCTTTCCTGGACATCTACAGCAGAAAATCTGCGTGCCCATGGCTTTGCCTTTAAAAGCATTTGAGGAGGAGGGGAGAGGGAGCCCCATCTTCTCCGTTAGTGGTTCTCTCAGCCCCTGCCTGCTTCTCTGGGGGAGCCCCAGGCACTGCAGCATCGGGGTGCTGGAAATATTAAGAAATCTGAGCTTATTCAAGGGGCAGGGGGAGATGGAAATGATTAAATCATGCAAACGAACAAGTTAATGATTTCCATCCCCTTCCTGGCATGTTTGAGTTTTCAGAAGGGGGTCTGGCCAGCAGCTGTGCCAGCAATTGTAGCTCAAAAAGAGTATTTTCTTTGTGTCAGCTTTCATCCATGGCCCCTTTGGATTCCCCTGACTCCTGCAAATTCCGGAGTTTCCAGGGCTCCTGCTGCTGCGAGTCCCTATGACTGTTTTCCCTCTGTACCCAGCAATGGAGTTAGATGGGGGGGTGTGTGCGTGTGTGTGTGCGCACGTGTGTGTGTGTGTGTAGAAGGCACTATTTGCTCCCTGCTTGCTTCCTACCCCATCCTCCCCCAAGCACAGGAGTGGCTTTTTCCCAGGATACAAGTGACTTGGCAGCACTTGCAAATGGAAGGAAAAGCTGCAGCTTCTGCGCCTCTGAACCCAGAAGTGCAGGGGAGCAACTTAGGGTATAGCTTTGGGGGAAGATCCAAGAAATATCTGCGGCTGAGCAGTCCTACAGTCAGCTTTGGATGCCGGAGCCTTATTGTATAGTAAGCCCCACATATTGTTATATATATGGCTTATATATTATTATATGTTGTATAATAAGCCATATTAATATAAGCCTGAATGCTGTGTGTGCAGGTTCTCTCATCTAAGGTCACTGGGCCCCAGCAACAGGCACACAGGAATGGATTGTTCCTGTGATGTTGGAGCTTCCCCTCGAGGGATGGTGCCTGTTCTCTCCTGGACCCCTTCCCCACAAGAAGTAGTAACTCCTTAGGATCTCCTAAGTGCCCAGAGCGCCCTTTGTGTGATACCAGACTAAACTCAGTGCTGCTTTTCCTACCCGCAGCAGGAACACATTAGTTGAGCTAACACATCAGGAGAATCACCTTAATTGTGTAACACCTCCCTAACTTCCTACTCGACTTCTCCTGATACCTTTTCCTATTGCAGGTAGTGGTGGAAGCATGGAGAGGGAAAAGCCCAAACCTCTCAAACTGGGGAAAATATAAAGAGTGTTTAGAAGTCCTTGAGTATGCTAAAGCTGGAGGGGAGTAAATGAAGCACAGAGGGGAAACAGGGACCCTAACTATCAGTGTCACAGCTTCCTTCCTCAGCCTTCCAGTGCCCTTGTCTGGCTTGGGCTGAGTTCAGTCTGAAGTTCCTGTTGGGCCACTGCCCTGTTTCATCCTCACAGATGCTTCACAGCAGCCCAGACCCTCTGCTTGGACTTGGCACAAGCAGAAGACTAAGTGTAAGAAACTAAAAAGCCCTAATAGATATCAGCAGCTCACTGCTGTTGCTTAAACCTGCCCTCAAAACTTTGAGAGCCCCCACGGGTGGATTTGGACTGGTTTGCTCCGAGAGGAGCGTCTCTGCCAGCCAAAGTCACAGTGATGGGTGTCGTGTCCCTTCTAGGAGCTCCCCAAGGCTCCAGCGCCTTGTGGGGTGTATACCCACACCCTCAATCCTCACAGACTCCCTTCACTAGCCAAAAAGCTGGATCTGGTAATCAGGTTTCATGCCCCAGACTTGTCTCCCCAACAAGCTGTCCCTGCTCCCCCCAGCCGTGTTTCTGGGGTGCTGGGTGCCTCCAGCTCTGTCTCTGTCCTGGGTGGGGAATATGGGTCAGCCTGGCGGGGGGGTGCCGGCAGGTGGCAGCCTGTGCAGGCAGCGCAAGCAGGCTCTCAGGCAGGCTCTAGCAGATGTTTAATGGGATTTTATAGCTCTGGGTTTCATCGGGAGCTGTTGTCACGGAAACAGAGATCTGCAGAGAGCTGTGCTCTCGGTGTTAACTGCCTCTGCGCCGGTGGAGGATGCACAGGGTAGCAAGCAGCCCCGGGAGA